GTCTAGTATATTCATTCCAAGCATTTAATTGAATACAAATTCATACAAATACCCTTGAGTAAAATCTGCTGTGGTGAATGCTTCTAAGTTTCTTTTGGATGCCACTGTTATTTCCTTAAACTGGACTTTTTCAAAAAGAGAAAGTATGAGAGCATAAATACACAACTAAAATTTACCTTTTGTCCTTAAAGGTTGATCTGCATTCGTTTTATACAATACATATTTCAATATACAAATTAAGAAATGGAATATGGGTGCTTTTAGGATTCTAGAAGACATATAATTTTGGAACTTAGTTTCAAGAATTAGAGTCTGACTTACTATTGTAACAGATCCTGAGACACCATAATTACCTTTTTAAAACAAAGTTAAAAAATAATATTTATGAAAATACAACTTTGTGTTCTTCTGCGAATAAAATTATCTTAATTCTCTAACAATATCCCTTTTGCATTAATGAAACCAAGGAGTTTGCTTACCAAATATGAAGCACAAATTCTTAGAAAAGATAAATCACGGTCAGTCCAGGAAATAAATGCCCCTCTAAAGCCAAAGATTTGGTAGGATAGAAGGAAAGCAAACCTGAACTCTTGAATTTTAGAGAAGAGTTCTGCTATAGAATCCAGTTGTTCCAGCTTTGGATTTTACAATTTCACTGAGATTAATCAGAAATCATGTTAAGGAGACCTAAGGTTTATTTTCCAAAAAACAAAAACATTTCTCAATCCTATTTTTTATTTGACTAGATTAAGGCACAATGTAAGTACAGATTAGTCTGTTTAAATCTTGTTATAATTTATAATGACATTATCAAATAATTTTCTCTTTACTATGAAATAAGTATTATTCCCATTTTACAGATGAGGAAACTAAGATACAGACAGGTGAACTGACTTAGGAGGTCAGAAGGGTGCTCCCTTCGGCAGTACATATACTAAAATAGGTCAGAAGGAATAGAGGGAACAAAGCTGGGATTTAGAGACAAAATGACCAGGGTTTCAATATAGTATAGCCATCCACTACTAGCCTTCATCCGAGCCTTTCATCTGTAAAATGAGGATAATAACACCTATCTCTCAAATAGTTGATGTAAGGTGTAAGCAAAGCACCTAGCAGAAAGCATAGTACAGAGTTGCCCATTCAAGAAACATCAGCTCTCCTAACCAATCCACAACCCTATTTTCTTCAGCTGGTACAAAAGGTGTACACTAAATCCATATGCTGTTGTGAGGTAAGTGAGAACACAAGCAGAGCACCTGGTAAGTATGGGCTCAATACAGTTGTTTCCCCCCCCCCCCCAACCCCGTACTCCCTCTCTTACCCTAGGTCCCACAGTAAATGGCTGAGCCACAGTCAAATCCAGATCTTGGTTCCACTATAGAACTGTTTCTGCATATATGCATTTTATTTAAGATAGTACCTCATTCAACTGCAAAAACAAATTTAACCCAGCTGCTTGATCAGTTATTAATTTAATGTGTTCCTGGTAAAATAAAATTGATTTCTAGGGCAGCTTTACTTTTCAGTAATCAGAAAAAAGTAATATTTCTGACTTGAAAATATGTATTTTTGATATGAATTTCTACTGGCATTCCTGTTATATTCTTAATATTTTATAAACTATTAAACTCAAAACATAGTCAAAAATCTATTACTTAGGTGTATTACATGCCTAAGCATTTAAATGAGTCCATTTTAAGTTCAAAGATATTAGGTAGCCTTTTCATTTTTCCTATTTGTTTCCAAATAAAATAACAAGGTAGAGTAGTAAAGGTAGTAAATAAATGTAGGTATTCATAAATGAAACAGATGTGTAGAAAATATGGACTAGATCTGCATTTATGAAGCAATGACCTTCAAAACTGGCAGGGAGCTGTTAACAATGTTCTTCACAGGGGAGCAATTATATTATAACCCTCCTATGTATACTTGCATTTCTCATGATCTACAAATATATTTGCATATCAGAAAAAATAAAAGAATAGTCTGGTAACCGTGGCAACCTTCACTGAAAGGATGTAAGGCATTTTCCTTACCTTAATAATCACATCCTAAATGTTAGATCAATAGAACTGCTGCAATATGAAAGGCTAGACCAATACTTTGACAGAATTTCCTACAACTGAAATTTACCAAATGTGACTATTATGGCTCTAACCTAGTGATACATTTCTGACTCTCTAATACCCTAAGAGTTCTCTGATTATCCCAAGAAGTACTGAAATCACTCTAAAATATATACCTTAAAGAAAAATATGGCATACAATATTTTAACGAATATGATTCTAAATTATCACCAAAAAATTTTTTAATATACAGTACTGCAATTCCTAATACGTTAGAAATATTGCTTTAACCTAGCAAGTAGCTCACAGCTCCTTTCCATACTGATTTAAAGACCCTGTGCCCAATGCTTGACAGATAAGCGCGCACACACACACACACACACACACACACACACACACACACACTACAGAAACGTAAAAGGGGTGAAAAGTTACTAAGAAAAGCTCAATCTCTAAAAGCTCAAATAAGCCATATGCACAAAATATTAATTCCACATAAGATTCTCTCTCTCTTTTTTTTTTTTTTACATTTCCTCACATTGGGTAAAAACAAAAGCAATTCATAATAGTGGTGCCAAAGACTGACAATATTACATAAACTTCAGAATTCCTGTTTTCAAATTTTTCATGCAAGAATCACAATGCACAACCATTAACATGTCTAGACAGTGGACACTCACTACAGTATAATCATGTTACACCAAGCTTAATTTTTTATGTGTCCTAAATGTTTATAACACATTAACTTGTAAATATAAAATAAGACCAACAGGAAAAGAAAACCATAGTAAGATATAGCAAGCATAAACCCAGTAAGTCCTGTTTGACTTAAAAATATTATTTTTCTTAACAGTAATAAAAAACTACCCACAACTATAATACCAATCAACCAACCTGAAAGGTTCCACTACCTGGTAAAAATAACTAGTTGTCTTATTGCATTACCTTAAAAACTACAAGATTATCACTAGTGGAGTGGTGATATGAATTATATTTGTACTCTATACCTTGTCAAAAGTTAATGACCTGCCCCAGGAATTTTATTTCACCATATACCCAAAGTATTCTTAGGACTCACAAAGTCTAAATCTCACACTGCCCTTGATATGCTACTGTATAAATGCTTTAAATTTTAAAACAAAAGGATAAAGACTTTAAAAGCTCTGGACAACATATTCAAATGATGACCATGTCAGGTCAATGTTTTCTCCTCCCCCACCCAAAAACAAACAAAAAAACTGTACATGACACATAAAGATACAATGGAAACAAAAAGTAGCATGCCACTCATTCTGTGAGAAAATAATACAGAACATCTATCATATTCAACCACAAAAATCCTTTTCACTTGATGGCTAGCATCTTTATGCCTGTCTTTAAGTGGCCTTAAAAAGAGATTTTGTTCTCTTTCTCTGCCCTCCTGGATCTTTGACAGCAGTCAGCACTTATGCCCAGAACTGGTTTGGGGAGTGGGAGAAAAGGGAAAGTGTAGAGAAGGCTGAACTGAGCACGGACTCAGCAGAGAGCAGCTGCTCTCACACACTACCCAGCGTCTTTCTCACACACCGCTATTTTCCGCTATTGAGCATTGTCAGCAAAAAATAATAATAAATGGGGGGTTGGGGGGCCAGAAGACAAAGAGGGTAGAACCAGAAGCAGACAGTTTTTGTCTGCCACATCTGAGGCGAGAAGCCCCCTCTGGTTTCTTGCTGCAAAGGCAAGGGATCAGATGAGACCCCTCTGGATCCAACTCAATTTGCTTCTCCAGAAAGAGCAGTTTCCGGCAGCGAGCGCAGGAGCCTCTAAACACCGGAGCATTGTCAATGTTTCCTATCACTGACTTTATAGAGGAGGAAAGAGGGCTGTGACTTCATTCCTGGGAAAGACTACTACTCCAGACGTGCCACAAGGCAGTAGTGAAAACACATAAGAGGTTGTAAAAATCCCTTCCAAAAATACCAGGTTTCTGAAGAAATGCTGCGAAGCATTAACGTATTGTTGGCGTTATCTGTAAGTCACCGATTCTTTCTCACCACGGCCAACCCTCAAATCTCTGGTACTTGTTGCTAAATCTTTACCTCATGCCCACCCAGAATTGCCCAACACAATGAGATTTGGGGAGCGAAAGGCAGGGAGGGGGGCTAATCCTGGGAGCCCAGAGGCTGGGCTCCCTTCCATAGGCCACTCTGCATGGGCTGCGCGTTCACTTCTACCTTATGAGAGCTCTGACTCACAAATGCTGGGGGGGCGGGTGATTATGACATACAGCATTATCCTTTCAACCAAAGATAGATAAGAAAAGCCGGCCAAGGGTCCTTGCCTGGCTAGAGAGCCAAAGCCTGCGCCCCTCGACGGGGCGGCCCGGGTAGGAGGCTCCCGCCCAGCCCGCCTCCCTCTTGCAGCCAGTGGAAGACGCTCCCCATCCTGGCAGGCTCGAGGAGCCAGGATGGGGTGGCCTCACCCTGGGAGAGGGCAGAGGGATAGCTGAGGGTACCGGACGGAGGGACTCTCACCGCAGCTGCGCGGAGCGCGCAGTACCCCGCCCGGGACCGGTCTCGGGCGGAGGCGCTCTCTGCACCGGGGCCGTCCGCCGCAGCCGGGGACGGACAAAGCACTGGGGTCTGCGGCGACCCCGGGCAGCGGCGGCGGGCCAAGTTGGCCAGACTCGGGAGACGAAGGGGTTCCGCGGGCAGGGCAGCGCGGCACTGACCTGGATGGTGCAGGTGTACTCGCTGTCGTCCAGCAGCCGCACGGTGCAGCTGTACTCGCGCTCCAGGCTCCTGCTGCTGCCGCTCATCAACCTGCTCAGCATCTTCCCGCCCGCCCGCCCGCCCCCGGGAGAGACGCGGCGGCGCTGCGGACCCTGGACCAGGCGCCCCTCAGCCGGGCAGCTCCTCGCGGGCCCCGGGCACCTGCACCATCACCCCAGCCGGGTCGCGGCCGCTGCCTCCTGCTGGCGCTGCTCCTCCTTCTTCTCCTCCTCCTTCTCCGCCACCGCCTCCCCCCAGCCCAGAGCAAGCGCCCCGCTCTCTCTCCTCCGCGCCCCACTCCCCATGCCCAGTTCGTGGGGCGGGGCCTCGGCCGGAGAGGGGCCAATGGGGGTCAGCGCGGCGGAACCGAGTGGCAGAGAGGAGAACCAATCGAAGTAGGGCATTAGAATGATGGACAGGTGGAGGAAGCAATCACGGGAAAGCAGTCGGACAGAGCCTAGCGGGACCAGCCCTCTGGCGTCCCAAACGAGGGGCTCCTCTTGTCTCTGCGGTTACTGTAGAAGCTGTTTCCCCTCCCCCGTGCCAGGTGTGGGCACCCGGCTGGATAAATGTCTGCCGCGTGGAATACGTTTAGACTCTGCTTCAGGGGCCAAGTCCCACACTCTGCAACCCCGCGAGTCCCGCCCTCTCGGTAGCCGGGGCGGTGCAAGATAACAATCCCCGCACCTGCAGAATGCAGGCACCTTCCGCTCCGGACCAGGCGGCTGCCCCCACCTGAGCTGTACCCCAGGTCGGCACAACGGGCTTCTCTGCTCTAGCCTTCTTATTTTGAACAACATCTGTTTTACAGTAGCTACTGAAGTAAAAGCTGTAACGTTCGCAAGGGCTTTTAAGCACTCGGGTTTAACCCCTAGGAAACCCTCCACTCCAACACCCCATGCCTCCCTTTTATTTTCCTAAGACAAAAGAGCCTGAGGTGTGCTTCTTCAGCCAGTAGGGTGCAGAGTACGTGATGGGTCCTTTCCTTGCACCTTCAGAACTAGAATTATCATATTTTCAGACTTCCTCAACAAAACACCTGAGCATGTCAGGAGATATATATCACAGAGAAAAAAAATGTCTCCTGCTCTTTGTGACCCCACATCTAAAGATCTCATGTTCTTTATGAAAACTTCACCAAGACACATGATATTCTCCCTCAAAAATTTTTGATAGTAGGAAATGTTATATTAAAGGATATCAACACAAAATGTTATAATTTATTAATTTAAGAAATAATGAAAGATGCATAATTTCCCATTATTTTCATGTATACTGTTCTTGTTTGTAGAGATAACAAACACATAACAAAAATGAAACCCTAAATTAACTTAGAAAAGATCTGACCTTTAAAGTACACTGTTTTACCCCGAGGCACCTGGCTGGCTCAGGTCCTGAGCTCAAGCCCCTTGTTGGGCATAAAGCCTACTTAAAAGAAATAAAATATGCTTCTTCTCTCGTGTCCTTGGGTTCCAATATTTCTCCCAATTTTTTTGCATGGGACTTTCCCCCACTTCAGTTATCACCTCAGTAACCTGGATTGCTCTCTTTATTAGCTGCATTCTGCTTTATGGCAATCAAAAGAGGAAGTTCCACTTTTCAACATAATCCTAGAGGAGTTAAGAAATTACAACAGTAAGTCAAATATTCTAGCCATTAAACCAGATGTGAGTTCCTCTACTTTGTAGCCACAGCAGGTAGCCTTGTATGTACAACACAATAAGTATTCATTCAATAAGTGTTTGTTGCATGAAGTAAATGAGATAGATATTTTAGAGCATCTAAGTCCCAGGGAAAGATATATGAAAAAATTAAGAATTTCAGGAAAGTCTTGGAGACAAATGAAATTATTAATAGCCAAAGTGATATTTTGCAAAACTTGGCTTTGTTGTGTAATTGGGAGAAGACAATGAAAGATTTCAGGCAGGCAGAACTTATGTTGAAGGTAAAAATTGTTATTTGTTTACAGAATCTATAAGAGCAAGAAAAAATGTCCCAGGAGCTAGAGGAGGCCCAGTAGTTTGATGGTAGGGAAATGTCTTTAACAGGTTATGCAAATAAGCAGCTGTTAGAATAAAAAGGCAAAGCATCATGAATCCAGAAAAGCTCTCAGGAACTGAATGCAGTCTTTTTTCAGAGTATGACCATAGATGCAATCAACAAGGATAAGATTGTGGCTGCTATGCCAATGTGTTAAGTAACATTCCTGTTCAACCTAAGAAAATCATATCAAGTTAAATGTTCACCTCATTGAAAGACCAGTAAGATATTCATCCATGCTTATGCATAATATCCAGAAAGAATTTCAAACTTTCCCTTACTCTCTTATTCAGAACACTTGGTGAGGAAAACAGAGGATGGATGCATAATAGAAGAAAAGAAGGAAACTATCAGTTTCTGGTGAAAATGTATGCCTGTACAGGGATTGAGAGCAGAAGCCTGGAGGAAACTAAAAAGAAAAGACTCGTATAAAATCACACTGAGGAATATTTTGTTTGTCTTTGTTTTTCTCAAGTCTATTGAGCAGAATGTCCAGGATAAAAAGGGTTTGTTCACTAAAGGCCTCATGTGCCCTTGATAATCAGATAGTGTTCATGAATTTTTTGGGTATAAAGGAGGCCATATTTAAAACTCCAAACTGCAATGACTCTGAGCTCCCATCTTTCAAATTATTAGGATATTAGCCCCCTTTGAAGTTTCCCTCCCTTCTACTGTTGAGGAGTCCTGAGGGGTGATGTTATCACTAACATATGCCTGAAATAACTGAATTACTCCTGCCTCTATTTCAGATGACACCCTGATGTTCTGTGATACTGATCTGTCTCCAGCCAATGCAACTTTCACCATTGCTTTGGGATCTGGCAGGAAGAAGCACTGCCTCCTCTTTACCAAGACATCACAAACCCTGGCTCTTCCCATCAAAGTCTCCTCATTGCACAGTTAAGACCAGGGTTATATAACAATATTAGAAAGGAAGAGTAATCCAGAGTAAACTGCAGGTATGACATGGCTACTCTCAAAGCCCTTATGGACTAGAGGCCTGCCTTATTGTTGAGCTTGAAGCCAGGGTCCATGTGGCTGATGACAGATTACCTCTTCATCCAGAATTCCCCTGACCATGTCTTGGGCATTCAGGCTCAACTGCTCAGAGAAGAAAACTCTCCTCACCAGTTTAAAGTCCATTTACAAAGTCCCACTTTCTGTCCTAGTTGCTGCCTTTCTATAGGATGGCTGACCATGAGAACATCTACTCCTTTAGAGGAAACCCCACCTTCCATCCTGAGGATTGTGACCTTAACCTTTGACCCAACTGGACCAGCACCTTCAGAACAGTCCAAACTCAGCACATGTCTCATAAAGACTGAGTTAATCTTTATAAGTAGGCCCAGGTAAAGCCTCACCAAAGCCAGTCTAGTCCCTTTGCATAATTATTTCTCCAGTAAGCAATAAGGATCATGCCTGTCCTTGTTTGACTATATCTTTTAGAGCTCAGCTTTTCTTCTTTTAAGGGCAAGGGCTGAAACAAGGACATTCACATCTCCACAGAAACAACACATATGTGGTCTACATCCACAGAGAGAAAAGAAACCGTTTTTCTCTTCTGTATCAATGTCTGCGGAAGCAATGCTCCTGCTCCACACACAAAGATTTGCATATCCAAATGGAGCACCATGCTTCACAAACGAAAGCATCTACACTCAAGTTATAGTTTTTCAAGAGTAATAAATGTATACTTGCTTTAATATGAGTAGTTAAACAATCCATGTAGTTTTTTCAGAGCAGTCTACCTCTGAAGAAATGTTCAAGTCTTCTCTTTCATCAGGACAGAAATGACCAATGGTTTAAGAGACAGCTTTTCTATCTTCTAGTAACTCAGGATTTTCATTAGCCCCCATTATATTTAGAAGAATTTTTAATGTGTATTTCTATGTGGAAATATAAGTGCATGTGTTTTTTTATTCCAACTACATTTATTGACCATTTACTGTGTGTTAGGCACATACTCTATGACAGTTTTCTAGAAAACATAAGACATGGCCCAAAGAATATGGGAAAATGAGATGTACAAAGAAAAAAGCTCACAATCTAGAAGAGAGTGTTAGGTATACAAACAGTTAGCTATTATACAACATAGAGAGCATGGGCAAAGTACTATAAGAGAACAACACATGGTACAATTATTTAAGCATAGGAGACAGCACAGTCTCCCATGAGAAGGCATTTAACTTGAGCCCCTAGGAATGAGTAGTATGGTGATGGGTGTAGACAGCAGAGGAGCAAGATATGATATGAGGAGTGACATTTTAAATAGAGGAAACAGCATGGAAGCACAAATATGTATAGCATGTTTTAGAAATTGCAAGTGCCCCTGGATAGATAGCATGTGGGATGCATTGGCTGGGAAGAAATGGACTGAGAACAGATCATATAAGACCTTCCATGCCATTGTTAGGAATTTGGACTCTGTTGTATAGACTGGTTGGGGGGGTGGAGAGAGGAGGGACGGTTTGCAGGTTTTTAAAACAGAGCAATGGCAGAATCAGATCTGTCTTTGGAAGTGATCGTTTTGATAGTAGTGTCAATGTTTAAATTATAGCAAGAGGAGATTATTTACTATGGAAAAAATGCATTCTGAAAACAATAGAATGTCTTTAATGAGGCATCAGAAGCATTTATAATACACCTCTCAGATGTGAGTGACAGGCTTTATTATATTCTCCAGTTATGGTTCATTTTCCTTATATTTCCAGGCAGTCTTCAGTTATTGTTATAGACATGAAATGTATATGAAACAAAGAAATTAATTAATTAATTCAAAAAAAGATTATTAATGGTCTACTTTGTGCAAGTCCCCATGCCAGGTGCTGAGAGAATTCAAAGATGAACAAAACATATTCCCAATCCTCATAGAATTTACAGCTCTATCTGTAAATCTGCAAAATTACTTCAACAACATTTATTTATTTATTAAGCATTCAGTTTATGTAGATTAGGATTCAACACACAGTGCTCAAAAATATATACATATAAGAGAAAGACAGCAAAGATAGGAGAAACAGTCTAAATAATATGGGCAAAGAAAATATAAATGTGAAGAAATCAGAACAGCCTATATTTCTTGACGAATAGTGTCAATTGACTACTTGCTCTGCAAAATGAAATAACATTACTGTACTTCCTCCTAAACTCTCACTCCAACTCCCAATTTTTGTGGTTTATATTATTTCTATTTTGTCAGGGTTTATAATATTTATGGCTTATGGTAACCATATTTCTTCTAGTTATTTAATCTTACTTTTATATTCAAATGGATTCAGTGCTTTTACCACCAGTCCTTTTATCCTCCAGATTCACCATTCCCAGAGGTTTTCTTTTTAATCATGTCCTGGTACATGCAATTTCTCTGCTAAGTAGTTTAAGAATGGCTAATTGCCACATTACCTTTCTTGCTTTTTTCCTTTTCTTTTTCTAATATACAGTGTTTTGTTAGTTTCAGGTATATAATATAGTGATTCAACAATTCCATACATAAATCACCTGATTCTCATCATGACAAGTGACCTCCTTTATCCCCATCACCTGTTTCACCTACCCCCATCTCCCCCAATGGTAATCATCAGTTTGTTCCCTATAATGGTAATCATCAGTTTGTTCCCTATAATTAACAGTTTGTTTCTTTTTTTTAAGTTTTATTTATTTTTGAGAGAGAAATAGAGACAGTGTGAACAGGAGAGGGTCAGAGAGAGAGGGTGACACAGAATCTGAAACAGGTTCTAGGCACTGAGCTGTCAACACAGAGCCTGATGCGGGGCTCGAACCCACAAACCGTGAGATCATGACCTGAGCTGAAGTCAGATACTTAACCAACTGAGCCACCCAGATGCCCCATTAACAGTTTGTTTCTTGATTTCCCTCTCCCTCTCCCTCTCCCTCTCCCCCTCCCTCCCTCTTCCTCTCCCTCACTCCCTCCCTCTTCCTCTCCACCTCCTTCTCTCCCTCTCCCTTCCTCTCTCCCTCCCTCTCTTTGCTCATTTTGTTTGTATCTTAAATTCCACATATGAATGGAATCATATGGTATTTGTCTTTCTCTGACTGACCTATTTCACTTAGCATTATACTCTCCAGCTCCATCCATGTCATTGCAAATAGCAGGATTTCATTCTTTTTATGGCTGAATAATATTCCATTATTTATATGCACCACATCTTCTTTATTCATTCAACTGATGGACACTTCAATTGCTTCCATAATTTGGCTATTGTAACTAATGCTGTGATAAAAATAGAAGTGCATGTATCCCTTCATATTAGTGTTTTTGTATTCTTTGGGTAAATACCCAGTAGTGCAATTACTGGATCATATGGTAGTTCTATTTTTAATTTTTTGAGGACCCTCCATACTGTATCCCACAGTGACTATACCAGTCTGCACTCCCAGCAGTGCATGAGTGTTTGAAAATCTTGACATCCTTGCCAACACCTATTGTTTCTAAAATTGTTCATTTTAGTCATTCTGATAAGTGTGAGGTGATACTGTGGTTTTGATTTGCATTTCCCTGATGATGAGTGGTGTTCAGCATCTTTTCGTGTGTCTGATGGCCATGTGTATGTCTTCTCTGAAGAAATTTCTGTTCCTGTCTTCTGCCAATTTTTAAATTGGATTATTTGTTTTTTGGGGTGTTACCTATGTTCTTTCTTGTCTACCTGTTGCATTTATACTTGAACAAATACTTGTATAGAAATATTACTTTGGGGTCACATTTTCTTCATTTTCTTTCTCTCAGAATTTACAGCCATTGCTTCTTTGTCTTTTTTCCTGACATTTGCTATAGAGAAGTCTCAGATGAATGAAAATTTTCCCTATACATGATTTTCTTTTCTTTCAAGATATCTGAAGGATTTATACATTTAACCGTGAAGTTTAAGAACTTAATAAGAATATATCTCTGCATTAATTTTTCTAAATCAATTTTCCCTGTTATAAGATGGATAGTTTTCTTAACAATAATGCTTTTACCTTTGAACTTGTTGGGTTCTCTTCCTCCAGAATGCCAGTTAGCCCAATTTTGGATCGTATTTGACTATATCTTTCTTTCTTTTTTTTAAAAATTTTTTAAATATTTTATTTATTTCTAGGAGAGAGAGAGAGAGACAGCGTGAGCAGGGGAGGGTCAGAGAGAGAGGGAGTCACAGACTGAAACAGGCTCCAGGCTCTGAGCTGGCAGTCAGCACAGAGCCCAACGCGGGGCTCGAACCCACGAACCACGAGATCATGACCTAAGCGAAAGTCGGACGCTCAACCGACTAAGCCACCCAGGCACCCCACTATATCTTTCTTTCTTTTTTAATTCTTAAATTTCTTTGGCTTTTCCCTCTTCATTCATAGTGATTGTCCCAAGTCTTTCCTCCTTGCGATTAACATGACTTTGAGCCAACTCTATTTTGTTCCTTGCTGTTCAAATTTGTTTATATTACTTTTGTTCTCAATTATTCTGGTGTTTTATTTTTTTAATTTTATTTTTAAGTAATCTCTACATTGTGGAGCTTGAACTCACAACCCCCAGATCAAGAATTGCATGCTCTACCACCTGAGGCAGCCAAGTGTCCCTCAATTATTCTGTTATTTAAATATCTCATCTTGGATTTCTTATTTTATTGAATATTATTTCTTACTGAGTCTGTAGTAGAATATGCTTCAGAGCACCTGGGTGGCTCTGGATGGCTCAGTTTACTGTCTGACTCTTGATTTCAGCTCAGGTCATGATCCCAGGGTCATGGGATCGAGCCTCATGTTTGGTGTAGAGATTGCTAAAATAAAGAAATAAGCTTCAAAGAATATGCTTCTCTTCTCTGAATTGTGACAGAGTCTCTCCTTGACCAAGGTTTAGTCAGGTTCCTCTGAATTCCCTTCCCAACTAGCATTGACTTTTGGACTTTTTTCTCTCTCTCAGAATTTTGTCCATCTTTGCATCAGTTTACCCAGAGTCCCCCAAACTCAGTATCTGATCATCTTCAATGTGTTACCAAGTTCCACATCTCCTACTATTCCCCCACATGGTGTTTGATCACTTTGGTCCATCTTCAGCAAGAATCTTGTTAGGCTGGTTTAGCCAGAATCTCCCCTTATCCCTGATGTTTCATCTTAATTTTTCATCCACTGACACTCATCTCATCCCCACTCTGCTCTTTGATTATAAATTCCCACCTTTCCTTGCTGTCTTCAGAACTGACCCTGGGTTTTTTTTAAGTTTATTTCTTTTGAGAGAGAGAGGAAGTGTGAGCAAGAGAGAGGCAGAGAAAGAAAGTGACAGAGGATCTGAAGCAGGCTCTGTGCCGAACAGCAGAGAGCCCGATGCAGGACTTGCACTCACAAACCTTGAGATCACAACATGAGCCAAAATTGAATGCTTAACCAACTGAACCACCCAGGCACCCCAGAAGTGAGCCTAGTTTTATATTGAGGTCCCCTTTGCCCTGAATAGTTTTTAATGAATAAAATTTGTTTTTAATCACTTTAACTACTGTCCAGCTGTGGTTTTTCCTTAACAGTTGTTTTCATCTGAACTAGATCCTTCTACCATGCTTGAAGGGTGGTCATGTCTTATAGTTCATCCAGTTCATTCTTAGCATAGACAGACCATTCAATTTTCACTTTGCTCTGGTATATGCCAGTTTTTCTTCCCCCAGTTTAGGAGTTTGGACTTGTTTTCTAACTTATTTTCTCTAACATGAAGATGCAGGAT